GTCATGATCCTGGAGTCCCAGGATCGAGTCCCGCATCGGGCTCCCTGCTCAGCAGGGAGTCTGCTTCTCCCTCTCCCGCTCCCCCCTCTTGTGCTTTGTCTCTAAAATAAATAAATAAAAATCTTTTAAAAAAATAAATAAATAAACCAAAAAAAACTGAGCACGGGGGCGCCTGGGTGGCTCAGTCGGTTAAGGGTCTGCCTTTGGCTCAGGTCATGATCCCAGGGTTCTGGGATCAAGTCCCACATCGGACTCCCTGCTCAGCGGAGAGCCTGTTTCTCCCTCTCCCTCTGCTGCTCCCCCTGCTTGTCTGCTCTCTCTCTCTGTCAAATTAAAAAAAAAACAAGCTGAGCACACAGGGATAGTAGGGTGAACGGGCAGGTGCATTGTGGCCTGCTTACCTGGAGAGCAGCAAGGGGTGCTCCCAGCCCCACAGAGCCATAGGAAGGAGACTCGTGGACACGGCGCCCAGTGAACACAGCCAGACCCTGATGAGTCCTTCCTGTTTCAGAGCAGGCCTGCTCATCTGTGGTGTGACGAGTAAAGATGGTGCTTCTGAGTGCAGCTGTCGGTGGGGAGCTCCTGGGGCTCAGGCTGTGTCCGTCTTGGTCTGGGTGCTGCACAGACAGGGCCCGGACTCTCTCCTGGCGGCAGGTTGCATGTCAGCAGGATGTCTGCTGGGAGCGTGGTGGGCGGGGCTGGCCGTGGGCCTCTGCTGCCCACCCAGGCTTTGCGGGCGCCTTGTGGGCTATTCAAGTGGGGTGTGCATCTGTGATCACACTTACTAAGTAAGATGGGTGACTGTGCCATGTCTTGAGCCAGAGCCCCTTGTGGCAGTCCCAGTAGGTATGCAGTGTCATCTCCATTTTCTGGATGGGGACCTGTGGCCAGAAGGACAAGGGCCAGTCCCAGTTCTTAGCTAGTAAGTTGTGGGCAGGGTCCAGCCTGGCCTGGTGGCTCCCTAGTGGGCTGTCCCACCTCCTTGAGGCCTCCCAAGGCTGGGCACCGTTCTGACTCCTCTCATTTGTGTTCTTTGGTTCTTGCCCCAGCTGAACATCCACGTGGGAAACATTTCGCTGGTGGACCAGTTTGAGTGGGACATGTCAGAGAAGGAGAACTCACCAGAGAAATTTGCCCTGAAGCTGTGCTCAGAGCTGGGGCTGGGCGGGGAGTTCGTCACCACCATTGCATACAGCATCCGGGGACAGCTGAGCTGGCATCAGAAGACCTATGCATTCAGGTAGGAGACCAGATGAGCCCCGCCCTCATTCCTCTGCAAACATGTTTTGGGGAAAAGACGGCTCCCTATGTGTGGTGACGCTTTCGGGTCTCTCTGGAGCCTTGGCTGATCAGCGGCCCTTTGTTGGCTCGCTCCTCCTGCCTCATGTGTCTCAGTAGCAGGGCTCCCCATCCTCATCACGGTGGGGGGGGGGTGTATCTGCCCCCTCTGTACCCAATAGTGTGTCCCCCCCCCCCCCGGCAGCTGCCCAGGGCCACACTCGGCTACCAGCAGCCCCTCTGCACGCTCCCGCCCCGCTGCCTCTGTACTCTTGCCCACACTCTTCCCTCCGTCAGGTACTGATCGCCCACCCCAGGAGCTGTCATCTGATGGACTTGCTTTCTATCTCAAATAAGGGCTGCTCCAAACAGCCCTCCCCAGCTCGTGAGAGTCAGGGATCTCCAGCAGTTTCTTTCTTTTTTTTTTTGAAGATTTTATTTATTTATTTGACAGAGAGAGAGAGACAGCGAGAGAGGGAACACAAGCAGGGGGAATGGGAGAGGGAGAAGCAGGCTTCCCTC